AGTGAGGGACATAAGAAAGAGCACATCCTGGAGACGGCCTGGTATAAGTTTGATTTACCTATTGTTAAACCACAAATGAAAGAAACAGAAACGGGAATACAGAATGCTTAGTGCAAAGATGGCAGCTCATGCTCTGATATATTGGTTTCCAGGTTCTTGTTGTGTGGTGTGTCCTGGGAGGGGCAGAGACAGACTGAAACCACCTACAGAGAAAATGTGTCTCCTCCCCTCAGTTCTCCCTGTATTCCCCCCCCCCCCCCCTCTACACAGCTGCTTATGGCTCAATTAGTCACTAATGCATTCAGCATGTCTGTGCTGCATGCTTGGACGTCTGGTGGCAGCTGCTGTGTGTCGGTTTCCTGCCCCATCTCCAACAGCGACATAGTAACTATCTGGGTATAGTGGTGTGAAAGTTGTGAATGGGGACTGGTACTGTGATTTCCTGCCTGTGCTCTGCTGGGAGCCATGTGTGTCAGCCTGGGACTGAGTGCTTTGGGATGGTGCTAGGAACAAGAAAGCTGATGGGGCCACATGGTCTGCTGCAGAAGAAACCTTGCTGCAAAGAGTTTCTTATGGCCTACTTGAGCGATTCTGGCTGCTAAGATTTTTGTCTGTGTTGGATTAGTGAGTTGTTTAGGGATCTGGGGGAAACCAGTAAAACAGGCTCATGAATCCATGCGGTAGGTGCCAACCCGGGTTGCTGCCTTTTTCAGAAGTAAACAACTAAGAGCCATTGTTCATCTTCCTAACTCTCTGCAGGACACAGGCTGTAAATTACATCTAGGAACAAAAGGTTGATGGGAGTAGAACCGGGTGCCCAACTTCCCAAGGGAGTGCTTTGCCCTCCAGCCAAAAGAGCAGCTTTTCTGGCTTAAACCAGCACAGGCTCTTCTTATCCCTTCCCATCAGCACTCAGAGCTGGGAAAAGTGTGCAGTACAGGATTTGCTACACTGAAGCATTTACAACCGTTTCCATTACAAAACCTGGTTTCAGGGTTGATCGTGGAAATTAAATCTGGTCTGAAACGCAGGAAACATGATTGCAGTCTAGGGACACAGGAGGAAATCTTATTAAAAATACCATATCTTATTGAGATTACAGTTAAACAGGTATAAAATCCTCCCTCCTCCCCTGAAACTGACTTACAGCCAGTCCCCACAGACCAGCTGTAGTCTATGCAGAATGTATGCTGCCATGACCAGAGAGAGACCTAATGATACTTGTGCTTTTTCTATTCACCAAGACTATGTTCTTCAAGTCTCTGTAACAAGCTTAAAATTTCCACCAAAACATGTTCAGAAAAGGATTTTTTAAATAATAATAATAAAAAAGTCTTTCTGCTGATAATAGAAAGAAAAAGTTTTTCTAATTAGGAGCTTCCTTTTTTGAAGTTTCTGATTTTTACAATAGAAATGCCAGCTATTTTGACAGAAACAAAATTCCATCCTCCCCCCCCCCCCCACTTCAATTGTTCCCATTTGATAGTGAAACCAGTCTCCATTGGTGTCATTTTTTGTCATTGTAAGTTCAGGTACATTCACTTTCTGGTCTGTCCACATAATGAAATCCAAATAAATATATATTATAGGGAGAGGATGCCCCACTGAATTCAGTGGAATTTTGGCCTTTGACTTCAGCTAGGCCAGAATTTCATCCTCGATGGTGATTCCTGAAAAATCATCTCTTTATATTGCTGTAAGCCATGCATATTCCTTTTCTAGGGCTCCAACACATGTACTCCCTAATAGGATTTTTATCAAAATTAATTTGTGCTGGCTACAGTTCACCTATGCGATAAAATCACAAATGGCTTATTGTGGTGTTCCTGTCCTATATTGCACCATCATAGATTCAGTATCCGCTGTGTCAAAGGCTTCACAGAAAAACACTTTTTGAAATTCTGGGGTTTTGTCAGTTTTAGTTGTATTGTTTCATTCTCTTTTGAAAACTTAATTAATTTGGTACCATTTATTATTTTAAAAATTTTTTAGTGCCAGTAATTTAACTGCTCGTTGCCAAGGGAGCAAGCAAATTCCAAAACCTCAAATATTTAACTATGTGATTTGTATTGTTAACAATAATGTCATAGGAACAAATCCGCAATGGGAATAAACTGATAGGCTCAACTTAAAGCAATGCCCTGCTGCATTTCCTCAGCTGAAGACTTGTTTTAGGATTTTTCTGTTCCTATATACTAAGATTATCCCAAGCTAAAGGAAAAGTTATGTATTTCTCACAAAGAAACACCCAAAACAAAAAAAAAAAAAACTTTTCCCAGACCTGTACATCTTCTGTGACTAAAATTTCTGTGTAGCATCAGGCCCTGCACTGAGGCTAAATTTGGACTGCTGTCTACCTCAGGCCAACATATTTTAGGGGAGAAATTCCATGTTTGGGTGGGAAAGAAGGAAATATTTTTGTGTCAGCTTTTTTATTTATTTGTTAGTTGCAGTTCTTTGAAGTGCTCAGTGCATTGGAATGCAAGTGTGTGTGTCCTTAGGCTGGCGTGTAAGCAGGCAGATGGCATGTGAAATGGACAAACTTACTTGTTATATACATACAGTTCATTAATTATTTCTGTGGTTTATCACATGAAATTACATACTGTGGTGAATTCTTTTTCTTGTATACATCTGTGTTTTCCTTTTGCATTAGGTACTAGCACATCTATGCACCTGGTCTCAACATGCCTAATCTTAGCCCAATTTTACAGGGCAACAAGCAATAGAGAGACTTTCTAAAGTGGAATAACACCCACCCCTGCCAAACACAAATAGAAGTACTGAGAAGTCTAAGATGCATATCGAATAATATTCAGTACTGAGAAAACAGCCTGTTCATAATCTGATGTCAGAAGGGCTAGAATTAGAAACTTCAGACCATGAAGAGACTAGGAATTTCCACTCCTGGTAAAATAAGACTTTTGCCTCTGTAATACTTGCCCACATCCCTGAAATGGACATTATTCTTGATTTACCTGTGCCAAAGAAAACTTATTTTCATTTTTTCATTCCATATAATTGTGAATACAGGACATTAACAGAGAGGTATTTTATGCTCATAAAAAAAATAAGACTCAAAGGTACCTAAATTTTAATTAAGTATTGCATTCTTTTGTTTCATCCATAGGGGTGGATTTTAAAAGTCATTTAGCAATCAAAGAAAAGCATATGCTTAGTAAACTTACAACATGCATTAACTGTGCACCAACATTTTAAATCCCACTAAACCTCATTCATATATTTTGATGCCAAAATATCTATAGCTACAAACATACAGGAATTCACAGAACTATTTCTTTCCACTACTATAAACAGTAAGGTGTATAGGAGATTGGTTTTGCCTTGCTTTTAAAGCCATTTGTTTCAAAAGAAAAAGTAGTGTATTCACTAAATAAAATGTGTTTTTTCTGTAATTTAAAAGTTGCTAGCTTCTTAATAAAAAGATTTTCTCTTTAACCTTGTCCCATCAGATATTCTAGACCTGTAGGAAAAGCCTGTTGGAACCTATTGCTAAAAATTTGGCTGATTGAGGAAAGGATAGCCAGCCATCTCTAAGTCAAAAGTCAAAGAAAAGGCAAAGTCCTGAAAACTTCTTTGAGTAATGTTCTTGTGCCTGTGGCTGGAAAGACCTGTCTGTATTTTTCCATTGTTTGTGTTAACAGAGATTAAAAATTAATTAGTAAATTCTTTCAAGTGGGAGGATTGACAAAATGGTAATCTGATATAGAACTATTCATTTAAAATTTGCCGAGTGAAACTGAAATCAGGGCGTTACTGGCTGTCAGTCATTGCCACATGTTGGTTGTTAAAGGTGACGTACTGGCTTTGGTGATCCCTGACCAACCCCTCATTCCACTGCACACAAACTACAGTCACAATTCTGCAGCTCTGAAGAGAGGCCAGTATGTATGGAGACACCACGAGAAATCGCTAAGGCACACAACAGACATGCCTTTCACTTATCTACAGAGGCTTTGAGATTTTCACCAGGGATTTCATGTGGCATCTAGAGTCGCACAAAACCCCACAGTGCAATGAATATATGTCCCTCAAGAACTGAGACCTTGTCTGAATGTCAAAGACTGTCATACGTTCTCATCCTGTTTCTCTGCTTTGCAAATTGGGAATAGCAGGAATAATTCCTTCTGTACCTCATACCATCAATATAATAAAATAGCAACCTTAGTCCTCAAGTATCACTGCTGGCACTGGCATTAGTTACCACTTCTGTTGGAGCAGCCTGTGCAGAGAAGCCAAGAATGGGCTGTGGGAGACTGAACTGCCTTGACTTACCTTCTGCATGAGGTTATCCTCCAGGGATGAACAGAAACATTTTAGAAAGGTTCATTGCAGACCCAGCATTTTGCTTTCTCTAAACTGAACTGCAAAAAGAGAAAACAGTGAGATGGGACAAAATTTTTTTTTTTTTAGTCTAGTCTACCCTTTTTAGTCTAGTCTACCCTTGATTGGTTTAGAGTGGACTTGGTAGTGTAGGTTAATGGTTGGACTGGATGATCTTAAAGGTCTTTTCCAACCTAAACGATTCTATGATTCTATGAAAATAGGCAAAATATTTTTGGGAAACATCCAGGCAGTTGTAGATGCTTTGCTGGGGTTCAGAAACTCTAGTGCTTTATGTTCACGTGGTTTGCAATAATGAGGACATTTTAAAATGCAGGAGGGGAATCTTATAACAAACAGTGCCTTTCTGAGCTAACTCAGAAGAGATTACACAAATTTTCTTGCAAGCACAAAAAGTATAACTTTTGACTGTACTTGTGTAAGAAGAAGAGGTTTAGTGCCTCTTTAAAAAAACTTGAGTGTGGCTGCTTAGTCAGAACTAGCTCCCCTCCCACCCCCCTTCTTCAACTGCTGGGTAACTTTTGTTGCAATATGGGTGTGACTTTTGATGGAGCTCCCCCTCCCAGTTATGTCATTACTTCAGTTCCTTTGAATCAGAATAAAAAGTGCAGCAAACTTCAGACTCATTGACTGCAGGCTTAACAAGCGTCGGGGCTTTTCTCTCCGCAGCTTGCAAGAATCTCTGGTTTTTGCAAAACAGTTCCAAGAAAACAATGGCCAGCTTCTCATTATGGGCAACTTTTGGATTATGTTTGCTGAAGCTTTGTCTAACAGAAACACGTAAGTTTTTTATGAATGAAAACACTTATGGTTGCTAATAAGTTTATGCTTCAGACAGCAAGAGCTCCTCTGCTAGATAGCTAGCAGCTGTCTTGCATCTGTCTTTATATGAAGTTTTATTATTTGTAAGAGTTATCAGAGATGCTTTAGAACTGTAACTTCAGTTGTCGTGGCCTGTACAATCACGGAAAACTATGTATTGCTTGTAAAGGGCAATTCCCTCAATAAAAAGTGAACTGTAGATCATTGAAGTTAAGTTTAAACTAAGAACAGAAGTATATTAGGGAATTTAGAATAGCTCTGGTAAAGCTCAGTTCGACAATGTGACTGCTGCTACGTACTTAGTTTGCTCTCCCAGCTCTGTTTCAGACAGTAGAGAAAAGAGGGGGGATGGGGGAGATGGGGATGGACACCGCCCCACCACCACCATACAACAACTGCATTCTTGAGTTTGCATGGGCTGAACTAACAGCTAATACATACTGCAGCCTTGCTGAACAGAAGCAAAACTGCAGTGACCTGTGACTGAAATTTGGAGAGCTTTTATGCCAAGCATGCTTGTTTCTGACTTCCTAAGGTTTCTTTGGGGTTGACTGACAAGATTTTGGAACAAAGGGGGTTAGAAGTGACAACAAAATTCAGTCGTTTATCAATTAACTTTCTGTAGCTTGGTTATCTGCTTAAAATATTTGTATTTAAAAATGAAACATTAATACAGAGGGAAAAAAAAAATTGTATGTCCGAAATGACAAAACGTTTTTGAAATTTCACATGGTGCAGGCTCAACCATGTTTGAGGGAAATGACCATGCTTTTAACAGACTCTCACTGTGACAGCAACTGCCTCGAGGCATTTTGTGGTTAGGGATAACAATTACACTTCTACATTATTTTTCTACTCATCAGTTCCAGAGTCTAACAAAATATATTTTTCTTGGCCATTGTCACCCAAGGGCTCTGTGTGTGTGTGTGCATAATAAATATATATCTCATTTGTTTGAGCAGCAGTGGATACTTCTGTAATGGTTGCAGTGCTGCCGGGCTGTGAATGGGTGTGTCAGAGTGAACAGTTCCCAGTACATCTGTGATAGCTGAAGAACTCTTACTGCTTTTCTTTCTAAAATCATCTGTCCATTGTACCAAAGTGCTCTTGCTAAAATCAGGTATATGGATAAATCCCTTAGAGAAAGGGCAGGGGTACTGTAGGCAAATAAAGTATGTCTGAGATGTGTTTAAAACCTTGGTTTAGTCCAAGTCTGTATGCTGTATAAGTATTATAATTATTTGGTTACTGCCTGCTCAACCGATTTCTCCTTTTATGAGCTGCCAGGAGCGTCCTAAAGAAGCAGAGTCTGCACTGACTCTGGGAGTAATGCATTTTTACAGGGAGACATAGCAGAAAACCCCATCATATAGTCTTCAGCATAGTTACAAAAAGTATGTCAAACCTCACATATGCCCCACAGGGAAGTTTCTTTAATGGCTTAGCAAGGTATTAGACTATAGCTACAATATATTTCAGTTGGTATGCGGTATATTCCATCATGACTTTCAAGTCAGTAAGGACTTCAAAACAGCAGTTGATGGTGGTTTTATTTTCTTTTTTAAACCAGTGGCTTTGCTGTGTATCACAGAGTTGTGGCCATTGCTGTTGGGAAACACCTTGCTTGAAAACAAAATTAAGATCTGCTCCTGAATTGGAATTTTGATTCTTTTACTACAGAATTTGGCAAAATTAGAAAGGACCTGGGGTTACTGTTAACGTGATTACTAAAGGAAAGATGAAATATAGAGAGCAGCTGAAAAACTTATTCATCCTGTTGTGCTGTTGTGACCATACTGTCACTGACATGTGAGTGAGGTGTACTCATGGCATAGTCATGACTTTTCTTGTCTAAGAGTTTTCTTGTCTAAGGAGTCTGGATCCAGGAGGATATAGATGCTGACATGATGATTCTGGGGGAGATTTTCCCCTCTGAGCATTATGTATTTGTAAAAATATTTCTCTCAAAGTTTTCCTTGATTAACACAAAGCAAATCCTATAATTTTGACCCCCAAACTGGAAGAAGCTGAAATAGAAGTAGTAGTAAAGATGAAATGAAAAGAGGGAGAATGAGTCCACCAGTGGGAGGGAGGAGCTTAGCTATTAGCACTGCAGAGGTTGCCAGAGGCTCTGTATGAGGTAAGGCTCTGAGACAGGGCTACTATAGCTATCAGTCAGTCAGAAAGGAAGGGACCTGTCTGCCTCTTGGCTTGTATATCCATCATGCAAATTTGTAAATAAAGCAGTTTGAAGAAGCTCTTTGTGCTAGTTTGTTTTCACTTAGTCCTTACAGTGTGTATCTTGGCTATTTTCCCAAAGGTGCAAAGTAACTAGACTTTAATAAAGTTCACTTGAACTTCCATCATCGTTTAATGGAAAGGTTATGTACCTGCCCTTGAAATACTCTCACACATAGAGCCAACAAACCATGGCAGAGGATTATCTTGCAGTCTTTGGAGAAATGTTTGTTGATTCCTTAGTTACTGATGTTCACCACAATGCAGAACCATTACCTTGAAAACAGGAAGTCAGAGAAAGGCTTAATGAGGAAAGATAGCATCATACAATCAAGGAAGAACTTTTTAAACTAAATTCTTTTAAAACCACTGGTAGTTCTAGCCAAGAGTAAATGAAATGTTCCCCCATACCTGGTGTGTCTTTCTTTCCAGAACAGTTCCCACGACTTTTATAGGCCAGGACTTGAAGACAGTGTTAATATTGCATTTACTCATCTAGCACCTCAACATGCATGAGGTTCTACTGTAGCAAGAATGTGCCAGCAGAATGAGATGTCCCAAGATGCTGACAGACAGGAATAAACAGCAGAGAGAATCATGAGCTCATTACTGCTAAAATACTTGTAGAAAAGTTGGGTTCTCAAGAATTTCATGAAGGGGTAAAAAAAATGCTTTCATTGAAGGATCACTGTCATTTCAAATGAAAGAACTTATGGAAGAAAGCAGGAAAATATAGCGAGGAAAAATGACTTATCCTCTCCTTATATAAGAAGCTCTACATATTTTTTTCCCTGCTTCTCTACAATGTATTCCACCTTTAAAGGACTGCTTGGGTACTGGTGATTGTGCTACTGGGTAAGAAGATGGAGTAGAAAACCCCTGGTAACTCTGGTTCTTCTTTGATAAAAGGATAATTTGAATTCTGAATGTAGTTGACTGGTAGTGGAATACCTTGTAGAGAAGCAGGGAAAAAATGATGTAGAGCTTCTTATATAAGGAGAGGATAAGTCAGCCCAAGAACTTAAAAGTTCTTTGTTATTCCAGAGATGCTGTAAGAAGGCTTCTCCATTTGCTTTCTGATCTTTTTGCTTCACATTTCTGTTCCTGCACTAGTGGATAAGTGTTTGAAAATAACACTCAAGATAGAAGATGATAATTCTCAACTTCATATGACATATATTCCTTTATTTACAAAACAGTGATTTTTTTTTTTTTTTTTTTAAAGAGAACCCTGTGTGATGGAGTCAGGGAAGGTGTTCTGCCAAACTCTCCTCTATAAATTGCTTTTTCCAGGACCAAGGCTAAAAGTACATAGTTACCTGTGAACTGTAACTTTCACAGAGAGGGTAATCATGAAACAAACGTGACCCACCACAGTAATTTTACCTAGTTTGAAAACAATACAACTTTGTACTGGAACAATTCATGGTGTTCAAAACATGTGATACTTTAGCATCAGCTGGTAACTGAGAGCTTGCTTTATCAAATTTCATTTTGCAGCACTAAATTCTTAGACTAGAGAAGTTCAAACTTCCAAGTGAAGGCCAGCAAAGTGAGAGGAGCAAGACAGAGGTTGGGTTTGTCACCAACATGTCTCTGATACATACATCATGGTTGCTACCAAGTAAAATCCATATCCACAGTCTATTTTGTTCTTTGCCTTTACCTGTAAGGGTTTCGTTGCAATATATCTGGTGGTTTGGACTGTTCTCCGTGGGTTATCACCAACTGTAGGCATGAAGCCAGTTTGGCATAGCTGCTAGTCATTTTCCAGACTAGACCAGAAGTTCATCAGCTGTTAATACACAGCAATCTCACACTCCCAGGGAGGTAATAATCATTTCAAAGCCATCAGACACTGTAATTATCAGTGACCATTATGGCTGCTGCTAATACTGGTGGCAGAGAGGATTGTGTCAGTCCTAAATGTTTATCAGTTTCCTCCCTGCCAAATCACAGGCCTCCCTACAGTGGCATCAGCAGTAATATCAGGAGCAGCTGGCTGTGATTTTCCTCCCTTGCTGCAGCTGCCAGAGCTGACCCCATCCAAGGGACAACAGAGCAGCTCATCATATGAATGAGTTTGCAGGCTGTAATGTGAAATGGCAACTGAGAGAAAGAGGGGTTTTCCTTGGAGAATCTTTTCAGTCAGACTGAAAGTTCAGCTAATTGCGATTTAAAGTTCAAACCTCTGTGACTGTTTCCTACCTAATGAAACCTGCAGTCATTTTTTGAGTCTGTGCTTACAATTAAGAACGTATTTGAACTTCCTTTTGCAAGCACTGGCTTGGGACTTTCCAGTTCCTCTATGTGACAACACTGGCTGCATTATATAATGCAGCAATCTTATTTCAGTACAATAACCTTCAACCCACACATTGTGAAACAGAAAAAAAAAAGACAGAAAGGAGTTGAAGAATAATCTACAATCTTAGCAATTATTAACATGGAAGCTCAAGCAACCACGCCAATTCAAAGTAAAAATCACAGAGAAGACCTGAATTTTACTTACATTTGCAGTTTGAAAAATACATTGCTTCACTTTTTTCTTTCCTTCTAATGATGACTGAGCTAGGCTAAGTAGCTGGAAGGTCTAAGAGCCTATGTTGTGCCTTGCAAAGAAAAAAAAAAGAAAAACAATCAGACATGCAGCAGCTGTGGTAAAACTTCCGTCTCCATTTCTGCTAATGATACAGTTCCAAAAGCAATGTGAGATGGTT